TCGATATCTACAAATTTCCATTTGCTCCAAATAGTATATTGTGTATGGGGTAAATTAAAGTATAGTTGATAATGTTATAAGCCTGGGGCAAATGAAAATTTGTTTGAATTACATAAATTACAATTAAATTAGTCAAATAATTAGGTAACCTTTATTATTTTAAAATAATTTAGTACAGTTTAATGCTTACTTACTATTTCATAAACTTTCAAAATATATTAACAGTCTTTAGTTTTCATATAATAGTGATAATAATAATTTAACATAAAAAATAACAATGTAAAGTAAAAATTATAAACAAAATAACAAACTAACAGCATTTTTAGTTTTAAAATATATCACATAAATTAATGTATGAATAAGTAGGTAACATAGTGCCTAAACTGATTATTTTTCATTGACATTTATGTATCCAGGAAATGTGTATATAGTTTTTCTGTTCTTCTTATGTTCAGTTGGTATTGGTAATATTGCAAAAATCATCTCTACTGTAATATCTGACAAGTCATTTTCAACAATATAAAAATCAGTTCCAATATCATTATTTTTTTTTAATCCTTGGACTAAAATATCCCCATCATCTTCATCTACACGTTTAACTAAACATACATACTTAAAATGTTGTTTCTTACGGTTCCCTCCAATAAAATCTATTAAAAGAAATACTCCAGGTTTTATTTGAGACCAAATTGGTNTTATTAAAAGAAATACTCCAGGTTTTATTTGAGTCCAAATTGGTGTATTCTATAAAACTTCTTTAATACTTAAATCTAAAGAATTGTCATATTACAATCATCTTCTGATGAATGATAAACTACATCATCAATTGATTGTTCCAACACAATATTTTGTGCATCTTTAATAGCCTTCTTAGGTCTCCTACATTTACTAGAATATTTGATTAGCTTTTTCTTTGAGGTTGCTTCCTCCAATTATTTTAACACATCTTTATTTGTTAAAACCTCACCATACTTTGTTGCTCTAAGACGAGGAACTCTGTCTTTTGTAACACAATTTGTATTGTTAGTTTTATATTGTATTAATTGAATTGAAAAAATAGATATTATTTCTTTTGGGCTTACTGATATATTATTACTTGATGTTGGAAAAATTTGGTCCATAAAAGTGTTTGGCGTTGAAGCTTCTAATAAAATTTGATTTTCTACAACTGTCAATATGTTTTTTTGATATAATTACGCACTCTGAAGTTGAAAAAAAAATTATAAAGACCGTAATAATTCAAATTTAATTTATTATTAATATTTCCATTTACCCCAAAACCAAATTTTCATTTACCCCGATTGATTTTTATTTTGTATTTTACAAAAAAAATATAATTCCATAGAAAAAGTGATATTAAACTAGTTATAGGGCCGTATATTAAATAAGTAAATATGAAATGACAATTTAGTTCAAACTGTACTGTTCTACTTATATTTTTGATCAAGATGCCCTTCTCAAAAGCTGTTGAGCAGAAAATATAATCTAAAATAATCATAAACACTTTTTCGAGTGATAACAATTTATACATATCCTCAAATTTTCCTTATTTTTTTCATTGCACACTATTATACCTTATGTGTACTGTGGTTACAATGATACCGAATTCTATAATCACTAATAATTTATTTTAAATAATATTTTTTTCCTTTTGCCCCAATTTCCATTTACCCCCTAGACCTTATGCTAGAAAGATTTTTAATTCATTACTTTACAAACATTGATTTAAATCAATAACAATTCAACACTAGTTTGTTCAGTTTTTAAGTTTTTTAGTTATTATCTTACACGTACAGAACAAAATATATTCAAAAATAGTTTTTGTTTGTTTTATAAAAAAATAACATTTTATTTTAATTTTACTACTAGACCTAAATATATATATAAAATATATATATTTGCCATAACAAGGCAATTTAAGTATTTCCTGGATGATTATAAAACATTAAAACACATTTATAAACTATAATTTTTTTATGGTAAATGGAGTATTTGTAAACATCGCAAAAAGACTGACGAACATTAAACATAATTAACAAATTATATTTCTAGGACATTGAATTTTGTAAAAAAATTTAATTTTATATTTTTATTTTAAAGGAATTTACATTAAACTCAATTAATCAGGAAAAGTTTGTAAGACATTTTAAAAACTCAAAAATAATTTTACCAATATCATTTATGAAAGAAAAATTGTTTACTTAAATATTTATATTCAAATTTATGTTTGTTAATTTGGTTCAAAATGCCAGTCTTTTTTACAATGATCCCTATTCACAGTTATCCCACTGGACCATATTAAGTTAAAACTTTAAGTTTTTTGAGTTTGGCCAAAAATTATATCTATAAACTTTAGTCTAGATCAATATAAAANTTTAAACTATATTTATTTTTTACTTTTTAGTTTCATGTTATGATAGTAGTTACTATCAATATCATGGTTGTTACGGGTAACGGGAAATCAGGGTTCGATTCTGGGGAGGGAGTCTGAGAAACGGCTACCACATCCAAGGAAAGCAGCAGGCGCGTAAATTACTCACTCCCGGAACGTGGAGGTAGTGACGAAAAATGACGATACGGAAATCATCCCTCGTAATCGGAATGAATACTTTATATCTCTTAATTAGAATAAATCGTGTTAATATATTAATTTTAATAGTAATTAGAATATATATATTTATACAAATAATGCGACTTAACTACGTAAAAGTATCATGCACTAAGTATAGCTGTGTTTTATGGCCGGGCGGGTCGGACTAACGTTATACCCGAGGTATAAACGGCGGTAGGAATATATATATATATACGTAAGGCGCATTAGACGCGGGCGTTATTGGTCAGTCAAAATAAAAATTTGTTTACATATATATAATATTGATGACAAGCACGCGTGTACGGGTACGATAACTAAAAATAAATTTTTATAGGAATAGTGTACCGTCGTATTGTGAGCGAGGCGTGGGGAGGGGTGAATGCGTATAACAGTCTAGTCTAGACAACGGAATATGCGATAACGCGTGGCGTTTGGAGAGTTACAAACTTACATACAAACAATATACAAAATACATGTGAAACTAATAAAAGCGTGTTAAAAAATATGTGTTTCAATAAGATTTTAAATTATTTTGTTAAGTATTTTAAGTAATGTAGTAATGGATGAAATAAAATCTCATATAATATTAAATTTAAAAAAAAAATATGAATTTAAAATTTAAAGATTGTATCAGTTGGATCAAAACTTCAAAAAAAGGATACTTGTTTACGATTATCAATATCACCAGAAGAGTGACTTACAGTAACATTGAAGTAAAAAAAAAAAAAATTGTAATGTAAATTTTATTATAAATTTTCAAATTAATATCTAGTAAATGAAGACCCTGTGTTTGGTGTTTGTAAGTAAAAAAAGTTTGAATGAACCCTCACGTGCCCGGAAATCGCGGCATTTAATCGCTGATTTGTATTGTTTAATTTTAGCGATCGGTCGCGTCCGATCGCTAAAATTAAACAATACAAATCGTATGTTATCATTCACACGGGGCGATTAAACGTCGCGATTTTCTGGCACGTGGGGCTCATTCAATTTAATTTCACGAAAAAATGTCGAAAATTACAGATTTTTAAATTTGTCATTTTTTTTAGAGATTTTCCCATTTACGGGGAACGAGGAAAATTTTTTCAATTTTTGAGGGTAATGTCTTCGACTAGATACGATTTGTGATCTTTTGACGTATCGTTAAAAGAAATCGGTTCGGTGATAGCTGACAAAAAGTGGTAACAGCCACAAAAAAAAATTAAAATATTTTTTATATCCTTATTTAAATTATACTCACAATACACAATATCTTTATAACAAAGCAAATATTAACGTAGTTTTATCATATTATTTTAATTTTAATATAGGCGATCATAGAGATAATTTGTAGGAGAGTGTGGATTGAATTTTGCCAGCTGTTAGTGATAAATTTGACGAATAAATTATTTCAATGAGTCAAAGTCCACATTATAAACGATATTTAATACTTTTAAATTACTTATGTTACAATAGATCATATTCTATAAGATATAATTAATGATATAAAATATCATGTAATAATACTTTTATGTAATTTTTTAGTTTAGGTTGGGTTTGGTCTTCAGTAATTACCGTATAGACATACGGTAATACCTGTAAAAATCTTCGGGCTAACTGCTCAAAGTTAAATAATAAACTTGAAATTAACCTTCTTGAGGTCTTTTTAAATTTCGGGGATGAACCACATAGGTCACATTGATCCTTTTTGGGGATAAAAAATGAAATATTAAATTCGGTGTTGAATATTCTGTAGAATGTTGAGGCAGTGACAAATGGTAAGTTTTTATGTTCACGGTCAGATTTATAATTTCGGTATAAGTCTGCAAGAGATTTGTTACTGCAAATATATTCTCTGGTAGTCTGGGCACGAAGATAATGTGACTCTATTCTTGGTATTGAATTGATAAAGTCTATAACGCTTTGCTTTACTTGTTGATTAATTTTGGGTTGTTTTCCGTGTTTGATCTTTGCTCAGCTTTTAGCACTCCCATGTCTGTTTTCTTGGAAAGAGCAGTTTTAATAACTGTATTGTTCAAATCAAGAGTAAATTTAAAAAAAGTTTTACACGCTCCTATTTTCGAGCCATTAATCTTGAAGTAAAATGCTGTATTCGCAGCTCTTACATTTTGTGTGGACGAATATCTATATTTAGGTTTAATTTCATGAGAGTGTCGTACAATAAATTCTCTCTGTCTTTGAAGGTCAGAAATTACCAATATGCATTGAAAAGTTGTTCCCTTGATTGATCATTAATTTTGGATGTGCAACTTAACCTACAGTTGGATTTACAAGGCGGACGAACCCTCCTCAATGAAACATTTTTCTTTAACTTAGATAAGGAATGATAGGCTTTTGCAGAGTTTCGAAGCATTTTTGCAACCTTGGCTTTCCATCGCAACGACTTATTCACTCTTTTTTTTCCTTTTTTCTATTCTTCGGTAGGCTTTTCTCCATGATCTTCAAGACTTGCAATAGTGCTATTGCTACTGCTTGAAGAGCTGCTACTGTTTCTTGAACTTGTCGAGCTGCTACTTGATACGGATAAAAACGAAAATATGTCCTTATGAGATTTTTCTTTAGGATTCACAAAAGTCGGATCCCCATCAGAGTCATCAAACTCGCTATAATCACTTATGGCTGGCGATGATACATAAGAATCGGTTTGTTTCGAAGTGCTTGGCATATCAATGAGAGGATTGTCAGCTTCCTGATTCTTAGACGTCGAGGCTATCTCTGGTGATCCATTTTGGCTGATATTCTCTTTATTGTTATTAATAGCCAGGCTGACTAACAAAAGGCCACGTCCATTCATCTTTCTGAAACAACAGAAGGTATATTCAAATGTACCATCATAAGTGTAACAACTCAAAACAACTAATTTGAAGCTCTACTGATTATAATTTTGAGAATAGTTAGTCAAAGAACTTTTGTAAGGTTGAAAATATATTGCACAGCATTATACAAATGGCATTTGCTTTGATTGTTTAAGAAATAATCAGGATATAAGATCAACTCAGCAAAACAGGTTCAACTTGAAAAGTCGAATATTTCTGTTCAAAAGAGATTCAACTCAAAATAAACATAACACTTTAACTTACCTTAGCCAGCAAAACTATGTTAACTCAAAATATTTCACTAAATATCTGTCAACTCTAATGAATTTAATCCAACAAAACTGTAACAACTCGAAATATCACGCTTTTTTAGTAGAGAGGCACGGCTTTCCTGTTCGCGATGCTGGTGTAACATAAATTGTTACTGTTTTGGTGGGGCAATAATGAGCTCACTCATTCAACTAAAGAGACTCTTAGCGCTCTCTATCAAAATCTAATGGAGGTACAGTTGAATCGGTTTTGTTGGCATACGCAGCTTGATTTCTAGAATTCGAATTATTAGTTAACTTAAAAACACAATATTTTGACTTGTTACAGTTTAGATCTAGGTGTGCGATTTGTTAAACATAAATTTTTTTTTTTCAAATTAGAAAAAATAATACATACAGTGAGTCAAGTAAATATTCGGACATTGTCTAGAAAATTTGGCTTGCGAATCGCCATTGTCTTACAGGCCTTTATGTATGATCAACACCATTAGAAAAATGTTTGAACGAGTGATTAAACCATATTTAAAGGTCTGTAAGACCTTAACAATTCAACAGACAAATTATTTTTTCTAGATGATGTCCAAATATTACCTCGACTCACTGTATAACACAAAATTGCTGTCATTCAAATACACCGCACTTGTACAATTTATACATGTATAACATTATTTACATAAAGTTGGATGTAAGATTTTATAACTTTTCTTAATTAATATTAAAAAAATATAATATCTCGCAAGATTTTTAAGTGAAATCTAAAAAAAAATGTGTTATTGATTCTAAACTGGTGGTGTTCAAGATACAAGTAATTCAACAGATAATTTTGACGAAAGATTGCTTAGATTTATTGATGAGTTTTTTTGAAAGAACATGTTGAACACATGTGTAATTCTATTTGATTTTATTTTATTTTTCTACTATAAGAAAATTATTATTCAGAGACAAGATGCCGATACGTCAGTCTTATACTAATTGACAATAAAATTTACACTACCCCATAAAACCTTAAACCGACTTGTATATTTTTTTATATAAGCAGAGCTCAGGATTTTATGAATTTATAAAGTTCATGTTAATCACCCTGAGTCTTTTATGATAAATAGATATTCATGTTAATTTTTCTCAAAACTAAACTGTGTATAATAATTAAAAAATTAGTTTTGGGGGACATAGAAGGATTACTTCCCTCTAGACAAAAGATATTGCTGTGTTGCTTTATACACTAATTTTTCACAGAGTNGCTGTGTTGCTTTATACACTAATTTTTCACAGAGTTGGGTGTCTCAGAAGTGGTTCAAACAATTTTATAAATGCATAGTCCCGAGCACTTTAATAACTATCAAAGTAAATAGTATAAGTTTTTATTTAATTTAAATATTTATCTCATAAAAATAAAATATAGCTTAATTTTCAGAATTAATAACTAAAAAAAGTTACTACTTCT